CCAATTTTTCCGCAATTTTGACAAATAATCTTGTCTTTTTTTGAAATTATGAGAATTTTTATGATTTCTTTTTCTAGGAAAATCATTGGATTTTTTTTTAAATCAAAATCATTGGATTTTTTGAAATCTTTTTTATCAATATTTTTTTCATTAAAATATCTTTTTCTTTTAAAACATCTACTCTGAAAAAAGATAATATTTCTGTTAACTATGATCATTATACTTATAGTCAATTAATCAGCACTTGTGTCGCTGAAGGTCTTTCTTTATGTAATGATTTAAAATTAAATCATCAAATCAAAAAGCAAAATCTTCTTGAAAGAAAGCAGTTAGGTGATTTTTGTGACCAGTTTGGTATGGAGGTTCCTTATAAGAAACCCAAAAAAAAAATTCATAAAAATTTAGATAAAAAGAAAGATTTTCGTCCTTATAAAAGACGTTTAAAAGAAAAAGATATTTTAATGAAAAAAATATTGATAAAAATGATTTCAAAAAATCAATACCATTTATGTTCCCAGAAATAACAAAATAACAAACCCTTTGTTTGTAGAGAAAACCTCAAACCAAGATCACAATGTAACACCCCCGAACACCACATTTGCATAAAACACATATTTCATTACATAGAAACATGGATTACATCAAAAGGTCCCACTAGTACAAGGATTGCTATATGTATAAAATCTACATATAAAATTTCCAAAACAAATCATGTACTATTACATGTAATCTAACATGTATCTTCAAAAGCAGGAAACAGATTAGAAAAATAATCACATTTTCCCTTTCCCTTTAATATCCCCGGACCCCGCTACTCCTGCATTGCAATATTTAAAACAGAAAATGAGGGTTAGACCATACGGGTCTAGTGACAAAATCCTTTCTTTGCAAATGCAGGGTAATGAACACCAAAATGTTTACAAATAATTGAAGCAGTTTACAATATTATGCAAAATAATGTAAACTCAAGAATCACCATTCCATAAAATATTTCTAATTCAAGATATATTGTTTTCCAAAATAAAACAATACCAACACTTCTTGAATTATCAAATCATCTCATAAAAAGATTTAAGGCAATACTTGTCTGATATGRCAAACCATTTCCCCCTTCTCAATAACATCTAAATTATTATTTCTAATGAGAATAATATCTTTAATTCATCAGATCACAAAGAAATGATGATTCAAAGTTRTTAAATCTAATTAATAATAATAACAAGAGTTATAATATTATCCCCATATGACAATGCCACCCTTATTCCAAGTACACCTCTCCTTGATATGCCACCCTTATTCCTCCAATAAAACAAAGTTACTTATCAGAACAGACATAAGTCACCACGTCTGAAAATACTTATTCCCAGTTCCAAGCCAGAACAAACAAAAGTCACCACGTCTGGGGGAACTACCATTTAAAACTCACTTCTATACCAAAACAGACTTACGTCACCACGCTTGGTAGGAAGGTTTTCAAAAATATAGTTTCATACCAAAACAGACTTACGTCACCACGCTTGGTAGGAACATATCATTTATTTAAAAAGATATAAAAATACCCATTTTTATAATCCACAATTAATCCCAATAATAGACATTTTAAATCATATAAAAAGTATCATATAAAAAGTCTAAACATAAAACTTATGAAAATTCCAATTAAAAAGATATTCGGGTAAAATATCGATCAAAGCTTATCCGGTCAAGCTTTATCCGGATATAAACACTTAGACAATATAATCAAAGTTCCATTTCAAAGGATAAGAATATGAAGCATGCTAATAAAATCAGTAGTAAATTTTTTATGCAAAAGATTTAGAAACCACTCACCTTGAAAAGCTTTTGAAACCAAAATGCTTGCAAACCAACTTGAAATCTTCGCTTTTGGTAAAACCGGACAACACTCTCAAAATCCTCTCAACTCTTCGAAAAAAAGGTAGGAAAAACAAATGAATGGGGTAACCCCCCCTTATATACCTACCAAAATGGGGAAGGTCGGCTACCGCCT